CCTCGTGCCAGCAGCTGGCGGCCGGGGTGGCTCCGGCCCTGCTGCCCTGGCTGGAGGCTCAAGTGGGCCTGGTGGGAAAGCCTGGGGCCGTGTAGAGCGAGTAGGGGCCTGAGGTGTTGCCTGGTGCATTAGCGCCCAGACCCTGGCCGTGCCAGAGTGGTCCCTCTGCCTTCTGAGGGCCAGTTTTGCAGGGGTTTTGAAGTATTTGGGCCAAATGGTTTTTTCCTTTCATAAAGGATGTATTTTACTCTTTGAGGCGAGTTGTGGTGCCCTCTGCGTCAATATTTGTTCTTTAGTTTCAACATTTAGAAGCATTAAAACGCCCCCTGTTAAATATTCTCTAGAAACCCAACTCTGGTCAGGACAGGAAATATTTTAGCAGCCTGGGTGGTTGGGTGGTTGTGTGGTTGGTTGCCTACTTACTTCGCCGCAGTTCCCTGACATCACTGAAACACATCTAGGGATTTTTCATGATACATTTTATTTCAAAGCTAGTATGGAAACATTTAATTTTGTTTTCGGAACAGCCAAATGAATTGGTAGAGGAATAGACAAAGGAGAGTGACCAGTATTCAATAATGACGGTGGAAAATTAAGTAAAAATTTTAGCTGTTAATTAGTGTTTCACCTACATCGTGACACAATTTACTGGCCATATATGTTTTTCCTTTCCAAAATTAAAGAGTTCCACTAATCTCATCAAAGCAGTCAAGACTCAGATTTTGACCAAATAAGAATTAATGATGCGGCAAAGATATCTTATCTTCAGAATTCCTTCCATACTATATTAGTCATATCTCCATGACTCAAGTGGGAAGAAACTGAGATGAATCTGGAACATTTTGCTGTACCTGAAAGAAGAGTAGGTGGGAGAAAATGGAATGACAAATAAATAAGTTGATTGGTCCCAGATCAGCCTTATAGCTACCAGCCCCCAAAATATCTGTGGCTTCCTTCAACTTACTGCAACTTTTCAGACATTACCTTCCTGGTTCTCAGCTTCAACTTTCCACCTTCTTCTCTAGTACTGTGAGTCTCACTATCTTCCCAGAGTTAGGAAAGCCTGTTTCTGACTACCAAGCTTACCAGATCTTGTGGGGTTAGTTTTGTTTCGTAATTGTTCCTCAGTATCCATAAATTGGTGCCTAGCCCCCTGTAGATACTAAGATCAACAGATACTCAAATCCCTTATGCAAAATGGCGTAATATTTGCATATAACTTACCTACATCCTTCTGTATACTTGGGTTCATCTCTGGGTGGCTTCATACCTCACACAATACTATGTAAATAGTTGTTGAACTGTATCCTTTAGGCGATGAGAAAAACAAAAGTCTATTCATGTTCAGTGGTGATGCAATTGTGGTTTACTGCTGTGTAAACAGTGTTGCTTAGGAAATAATGACAAGAGAAAGATCAGTAGAGATGTAGCCACCATAGGTGTAACTATATAATATATAAGCAAGACTCAAGGCAAATAAATACATTCAGACTATCAGTGCTGGTGAGAGACTGAGAGTACCATGGAACGCTGGGAGGCTATAGTAGGATGTGCCTGCACAGCACACCACTTCATTCATATGGAATTAACCTCATGATTGGGATGCAGAAAATTCAAGTTTTGCTTTTTGCTTTCTGGCTTTTTTTTTCTTCAAATATTTTTGACCTAATGTTGGTTGAGTCTGGATGTAGAACCTGTGAATAAGAAGGGCTTGACTGCAATCCCAAATAACTCAAAGAGAGAACACTCCAGAACCCCTCCTGCAGGAACCATGTGTTTGGCCTTAAATTTGGTGTGCACCTGTGCTCCCTGGGCGGAGAAGGACTTCCAGGCAGCTCTCTATCTCCCACCCAAAATTTGGCATGCTTCTTTAGCATTCCAGAGTAGAAGTCTTCCCGGTTCTGCTCCAACTCTTCCAGCAAAGGGAACTCCTAGTTTAGCCCAATTGCCTTTGGGTAGAAAAGTTCTAGTGTTCCCTGACCTGGTGAACCACTTCTCTAGACTGCATTTTGGTGGTCCTTGTGCATGCTGTATGTTGACTAAATGCAGGGGATTTCAGTGTATTTTAATGGTGGTGGTTTTTGCAGTAACATGTATTTATTTATCTGTTAGTGTTTAAAGAGGTTGGTATAACTTGCCCTCCCTTTCCTTCTTCTCTCCTCCCCTCCCCTCCCCTCCCTTCTTCTCCTCTTTTCTCTTCTAATGAAACATCATGAACCTTGTTGTTTCAGACACCAACAAAGAAAAACAATTTATTTTGGCATTCTCTCTCAGATTTCTTCATGATTACAAATATGTGAATTTAGGGCAACTCATGTTTTTAATCAATGCTTTGAATTATCCTCATAAAATAACTTTTCAAATATGCATACATAGGAAATATTGTAAAGACAAATGTTCACAGCTGTTAACTCTATGCAGTACATTTAAAGTTTGCTTTTCTTTGTACCTTTTCTATTTTTCAAATTTTCTACAGGAAAATGTTTAATCAAAAAATAAAACCAATATTTTATTTCCAAATATTTCCCTTTTTTTTCTATAAATAAAATGGGGCTTTAAGTTACACCATATAGATGGCATATAATGCACACAAAGTTTATTTCCTTGCCATGCTTAAGGAGAGATCATTTTTCTTTCATATTGGAATCCCAGATACTCAAACAGCAGATATTAATTTAATATTTTTCTAAAATTAATCATTTTGTGTATGCTTCGTAACACATTTATTTAAAAAGACCTGGTCAGGTGTTCCCCTTTTCAGTATATACTTTCTCAGGATTTAGCACCTGGAGGAAAGTGGCTAGTTGTTCTTTCACCAAAAATTTGCATTTCCTTTCCATGGTGTAAAATTGGGGACTACATCTGTCAGCCTTTTCCTCCTCAGTGTCCTCTTCTCAAAGCTTGATAAGTCTACAAGTTTAAATTCTAGCAATGGAATGTGCTACACATTACATCATTCCCAGAAAAGATCCATAAAAGCTGTGTATCGGATCATCCACATTCTCTCTTTTCTTCTCTCATTGCTGTTAGCAGAGCCCCTAACAGTCTGGGCCACTTTGGTGACTGAATTTACATTAATGAGAAATAAACTTCCACTGGGCTAGACTATTGAGATTTAAGGAATCAATTATCTGTAATAGAAGTTAGTGTTAACATTACCAGCAGCACACAAGTCACTAACTCCTAGAAAATTCTGAAAATGTTTTAGTAGAATTAAAAGAACTGATGTATTATGTTTACCTTATTACCCCCAAACAGATTAAGCATTTCCAACCACTCCATTTTGCACGAAGTGACATTTACATCTGCATCCTGAGAGATCAAGAAAAATGAAAAACAAGAAAACCAGGCAGATTTTATCTTCCACCTACATTTAAGTGATGCCAAAGTCATTGGTTGAAAATGAAGAGATTAGTTGCCCAATGTTTTCAAGTATAAAGAATCAAAGTAATTTTTTAATAAGGTTTTTTGAGTGGTTGTAAAGCCATCAGTCAACCTCATCTATTCAGTGGAATATAGTACAGGCCCCACCCACTGAGTTGCCTCTGACACACTTGTCATCTTTCAGTTGGGTGCGTACAGACTGGCTGTCTTCATATCGATGTGCAGATGAAAGGACTGTCACGATGTGCCAGGAATCCCTGCCTTCAGGGCTGTCTTTCCCTGGTGATTCTGGCAGGAGCTGAGAATCTGGCCGAGGCGCAGCTGAGAAGCGATTATCAGCCCTAGGCATTGTTGTTGGCTTCGTGCTGGTGCTTCATCCTCATGTGTATTTGTGGCCATTATATAACATAACTTTTGTAGAAAGAGTTAAGTACAGGGGAAAGTTGTACAAAGATAAAACTAAATATTACCTGTGCTCATTTGTATAAAATATTTCTGAAAAATGTCAGTCTGTTAAACAGAAAGTTGAAGGAACTTAAACTATTCTTTGGTACATCTGTAGATTTTTAAAAGTGTTTCCCATGGTGTTTATTTAACTTTTGTTTTAGTACGCATCATCTTAGGATATTTGTCCAGATTTTAAATTTCTTAAGAATAGGTCTTTGTGTATTCCCATACTCTGTTTTTTTGAAGGGCACTTTTAAACTTTGTCATGTTAAGCTGGTTGTTTTAGGGTAGATTACTATTACTAGCTGTGTGATGTGTGACCTCGGAAAAGTTCTCAATCCCTGTGTGCTTCAACTTCTCAATAATAATAATAATAATAATAATATCTATTTTATAAGATTATTGTAAGAATTCAATGAGATAGACTATGTCAGGGTTTTAGGAGAGTAATTAGCATAAATTATATATTATTTTTAGTAACTATTCTTATAGCACTCTTATTGTCACTACAATGCAGGTTTGTATTTCTAAAATATACCTGTGTAAATAGAATAGAGTTTTCACATTGACTTAGTTGTCATTTCAGAGATGTTTTATCTAAATAAATTGACAGTGTATGGCATCTGAGACCTTGCCTTTTAGTTTTGTTTTTTTCTCATTCTCCCTACCAGTTAATACTGTATTTAAAACAAAACGAAACAAAAATCTGTGCTTTAAATCAACTAAAAATGCTGACATAAAAATTAAGCAGGGAAGTTTTGTAAAGTCTAAAATTATTTTGTATGTTAAAATCTATTTAAATTATCTGTTTGATAATTTTTAACTTTAAGATATGGTCTTTTCCTAACTTGATTTTTTTTAGTGTCTCGGCATAAACAGCCAATAAAAGATGCAAAGTTCCTGCCAGAAGTTTTGCAAAGAGCTGCCCTGAGGAGGAAGGGCAGTGGAAATAATGAGGCTCAGTCAAGACAAGGAGAAAGGAAAGAATGTTTCTGTGTGTGCTAAAAGGCAGGATTACAGTGTGCCCCATTTACAATCTTTGTTTGATAAAATGTCATTTGTCTTAGTTCAAGCAGCAGAAAGAAACTGACACTAGGTGGCTTGTAAACAGCAGAAATTTATTCCTGACAGTTCTGGAGTCTGAAAATCTGACCTCAGGGTGCCAGCATAGTTGAGTTCTGTTGAGGTCTCTCTTCCTCTTCTGGATTGCAAATTGCATTTTCTCCTTGTATCCTGGGGGGGGGGCATTTAAAAGAGCACTGATCCCATTCATAAAGACTCCACCTCCATTACCTCCCAAAGGCCCCACCTCCTAATACCATGAGGGAGTAGAATTTCATCATGGAATCCAGGGGACAGTCAGTCCCCAGCTTTGTCGCTTTGTCCTCTTTCTGGCTTGTTTTTCTAGCCAATCAATGCCCTGGTCCTGTCAATTCCCGGACTGGGTTGTATCTCACATTTATCCCTTCCTTTTTCATGACCAAGTAACTCATCCATAGATGACAGAAATAGCACTAAAACTTTGTTTATGAATTCCTTCATTACATATATTATATATGTTCATATATACTCATTGTAGATTGTAGATTCTTTAGAAAAACGAGGTAAGAAAAAAAAAGAAAGGAAAAGAAAAAAGAAATTTATGTCTTAAATCTCATCACTTTTGAATAATTACAATTACATTTTGGTTTATATACCTCTGTGTGTGTATGTGTTTGTATTAATGGAATCATACTGCTATGCGGGTTTGAAATTAATTGTATATCATAAATATTTGTTCATAAGAATAAATAAGATTTAACACTATTGTTACCATTAGGTGTATAGTTTTCTATCCTATGGCTATGATACTTATTTACACAACCTCTTATTACTGAATATCTAGGCATGTTTTATAAACATGCTTTTGATAAGTATCCTTGAGCTGCATTCTTAATTATTTTATACCATAAATTAATCATATATCAGAATTATAGCGTCAATGCTTATCTACATTTTTTAGGATGTTTGAGATAATGAACCAAATGCAATACAAAAATCCTCCCTTTCTGGCAAAGAATATATTCTAAGATGGTCTTCAAATACCTGAAACCATAGATAGTACCAAACCCTATAAATAAATATCTTTCCTATACATACAACAATAACTAAAAATAAAGTAGAACTGTTACAGCAGTGTCGTGTGCTAAAGCTTATTTAAAGTTTATGAGTTATTTATTTCTGGAATTTTTCATTTAATATTTTTGGCAAAGGTGATTTCAGGTAACTGGAAAGTTGAACAGTAAAATTATGAATTATGGGGAACTACTGTGTATTTCTCCTTCTGTATCCCAATGTCCAACCTTTCCTTTTTCCAGTTTATCTTTTTCAGTAGTACTATATTAAATTTGAAAAGGCAAATGCCAGTAAAATTATCTCCCACCTCAAAAACTTGCAGGATTCAAAATCTTCTGCCAGCCTTTGAGGCCCAACCTACGTTTTCAGCATATGTGTCACTGCCCAGCTTGTTACCCTCCACTCCAAACCCTGGCTCTGTTGATACCACCTGGAAAATGCTCAGCCTCTACCCTGTCTCTTCCTACTCTAGATGTGTTGCCTTTTGTGAGCTTGCAGAGCCACGTATATGTTCCTACTTTTTCATTTATCATGGCCTATTCTATAACTCATGGCTTTTTATGTTCTAGTCTCACTTCCTTTGCTAGGCCACTTGTAAAACAAGGACCAACACTTGTTCCCTCCTCGAAGTCCCCTATTTTAAAAGTGTAATCATCAGAATTTACTCGACTATGCTGCAGGAACAGACAACCCTCTGAAAACAAAACAGGTTTATGTCTCACTCATGCTCCCTATCCAACTCAGATCAGCAGAGGCTCTGTTCTGTGACATCCTCACTCTGGGTTACACCAGTGAATATCATGGCAGCCTGGGGAACATGTGCAGAGTCTCACAATGGCAATTCATTATTCCTACCTGAAGGTGGCATTTCTGTCCATAGCCCATTGGCTAAAATTAGCCATGTTGCCCTTCTAGAGGAAAGATTGCAGAGAAGAGGAATCTCCCCACCCAGGAAGGAAAAAGATTCTTATAAGGGGAACATGAATCTCTACTATTGCAGTAGCTTGCTTATAACTGGTCATCGAGACATATGTTATAACATCGAGTAAAAAGTTGACACAGGCAGTTATAGAAATAAAACAATGGTGAATATTATAGAATGCTACTTTTTCAAGTTAATTGTTATTGTTTATAAGTAGGAGAATATTAACATATTTTTCCTATAAGGAAACAAATTTCTATTATTCTAAACCAATTCCTAATATGCAATACAGATATGTGTTTCTTTCCATTTTAAAAAGGGAAGGATGGAACCAGTGAATTGTGTATACTACGTACTTTTGGAAGAAGTAGGAACTGCCCAATAGTTACACAAAATACCTGTGTAAAAAAGAACTCTCCAAACTGTGTTAGAAGATGATGACAGTCTCTTAGGAGGGGTGACCTGGTTGATTCAACTCCTTCCCCTGGGAAATACATCTTTTCATTATTCTAATTATAATGAGATGCCAAAAGGATGTTATAAAGCAGTAAATAGTCATCTGTGGAAGACTTTCCTGAGACTAGACTTGAGTGTGACATTAGTTGGCATTTCACAAGATACTTTGAGGCAGCAGGTGAATCTCAGTCTTAAGAAGTACGGTAACTCTACGAATGCAAACTTAAGTGTTATTCCCCTATGAAAACCATATTTCAACTAAGAATCTCTCAATTCATGACCTAGAAGCCGAACCCTCTGCAACCTTTTCTTTTATGGCTATTAAGAATATTATTATTCTTAATAATAATTAGAAGTGAAGCTTCAAGTTTGGAGAATTTCAGTTTAGAGAACACTGTTCTTTCTGAAGCAAGTGTAGATGTAAATGTAATAATTTTTAGAGTCACTGTAATATGTTGTGTTTTTCACTTAAGAGAATTTGTTTTGTTAGGTTTGTAATTTTATTGAAATGCTTAAAAGACCTTCACCTAGCTTGAAATTAGCACTTAAATAGTCAAAACAATTGGCTCATAAAATGTTTATTTTGACTTATTAGATGCATGGTAGTGTTTAAATATTTGGGCAAATGTACTTAATAGATGTAAAAGCTTCATAAACTGAACATTAAACAAAACTAAGTAGCAGTAGGTGCTCTTTCCATGCCGGTAGCCTCTGAGATGTTAAAGATCCTAGCAACAGATGAGATTACTCTGAGCTACTGTCCAGTAGATTTAATAGACTGTACCTTGTCACAAAAACACATGATGTACAGCTATTACTATTAAAAATAAAATCCAAACTGATGTGCTTATCAGGAAAACACAGTTAACTACATGGTTCACTTTTTGTCACCATGTCTCTTGACAAGAGTTATTGTTCAATCTGTGGCTTGATTAGGCTTGGATCAGAGGCAAATGTTTTGCGGTGTGGACCTCTCTAGTACACAATAAACCCAAGATTCCTTATTTAAAATACCTTGGAGGTCAAGCTTCTAAAGTGAAAATGATTGAGAGAAGAAGAATTTACAAAAAGAGTAGAGCAAACAACTTGATTTGCTTTTAAGACTTTTAAGAAAAGGACTTTTATGCTGTGCTGATGCTAAGCCCTTTTAACTCCCCACAATGTTCATTAAGTTCTTATACAGACAAACTGAAAAACCTAAGCACTCCCAAGATCTAAATGCTTTCAATATTTATCATAGAAGAACAATTCAAATTGCTAGGCGATGCTAACGTAGTGTAATTAGGGGGTATGTCAATGATTCCTCTTTGTCGTGGCCAGCAGCAGTTCAGTTATTTTTCTGGAATAGATACTTCTACCTGACTGTTTCCCAGCTGATCTAAGATGCTCTGAGGACGATCATCTGAGGAGTTAGGATCTAATAACAGTCAGGGACTTAGTGTCCTGAAGAACTTTTTAATCCTCTGATTCCTGAATCCCACCATAAGCCAGAGCCTTCTGTCACATCCCTGTAATAACAGGCAGCTTGAGAGCTCTGCAATGCAACCCTTTTGTTCTGCCTTTGGGGGTCTTACAAAGTACCCCCTAGGCTTTCCTCACTAATTTCGACCAGCAAGTGTTTCCTTCTTGTCCTCTGCCTAAGGTAGCACCCGGAGGGTCTTCCTTTCTGAACAACAACAAAGCAAGCCACACCATGGGTGAGATCAGCCAAGATGCTGTGGAGAAATACCTTGAGGAGAACCCTCAGTTCACCAAGGAGTACTTTTACAAGAAGCTTCGTGTTGAGGCACTGGGAGAAATCTTCAAGAACAGCCAGGCCATGGTTAAGGCCAGCGTGACATTCCCCGAGCTGACACAGGTGGAGGAGTCGGCCCTGTGCTTGGAACTGCTGCGGTCCATGCAGGAGGAGGCGAGCAGCGCCGAGCTGGTGACACACAGGGCCCTACAGAGGCTGGCCCAGCTGCTGCAGGCCGACCGCTGCAGCATGTTCGTGTGCCGCGCCCGTAATGGCACTCCAGAGGTGGCCTCCAGGCTGCTGGATGTCACCACAACCTCCAAGTTTGAGGACAACCTGGTGGCCCCTGACAGAGAAGTCATGTTTCCACTGGACACCGGAATAGCAGGTTGGGTCGCTCACACAAAGAAATCCCTCAATGTCCCTGATGTGAAAAAGGTAGGTGGCCCTCTGATAGTGGGACACGGGTCTTGAGGGGTCTAGGAGGGAACCATGGAGAAAAAGATGGCATTGTTCATGGGGCATTGATGGCTAAAATGTGGGAAGGGTGAGAAGTAGGGCAGAAGAGCACTCAGGCTTCGCCATGCCATTTACCAAATAAAAATACAAGTTGCCCAGTTAAACTTGAATCTCAGATGAAAAATAAATAGTGTTTCTTAGTGCAGGTATACCCTGTGTGATGTCTGACATTTGGCCGGGCACTTCTACCTGGGGCTGGTGTGTCGTCACTTAACATCCCCATTCCTAACTCCTTCACTGCTTTGGGCATTTTCCTTTTGAGCCACCAGCCAACCTGGTCAGCCCAGCTGGAGATCAGCCAACAAGCTCAGTGCCAAGGCTGTGCCTTCATCCTCTCGTTCACAACCCTCAGAGGACATGCAGCTCTTTGGGATGGATTGGCTCATAAACTGATTTTTTTTTTACCTATGGACCAAATATACAAAAAAGAAAAATGTATGATGTTTGTAAGTTCAGATATTTGTCTTAGATCATTACAAATGTGAACCTAGCAATAGTTGGGTACAGCTGACTCCTGCTCTGTACCTTAGATCTATCAGGAATGAATTCCAATCATGTAAATGGACATGTGGACCCTCTTGAAGACCAAAAGTGTACTATACTAATAAAAGACATTGTTATACCCCTTACAGAAACAGAAAAAATAACTTTTTCTCTTATTAGTGCAATGTATTCATTTTAGAAAAACTATAAAACACTAATCATTCATAATCCATTTGCTCAGCAATAATCATGGGTACCAGCCCAGGATTTCTTCCTGGCAACCCTTTCTCTACACTCAAGTTCCATAATTATGATTTACTATCAACATAAGGGGGGAAATGGATAGTAAGGAGCAGTTTGGAAATTCTTGTGGTGCAAGGGTCTATGATCAGCATGTGATGAGGACAGCTGGAGAGGGAAAAGGATAATCCCTTCAATACCTCCCAAAGCTGATTACACAGGGAGACTGCACAGACCTGGGAGGAGCAGTTTGTTAAATATTAGCACCACTGGGCAGACGTCAGGACAACTCTCAGGTGCAAGGGTTGTGGCAGGCACTTAGCACCTTGTTTCTTTGGGATTGCTGTCCTCCAAGAGCTTGAGACAGTTTACATTTGCTCTTTGAGATGTGTTCAGCTGCTCCTAGTGACTAAACTACTGGGTGCTCTTAAAAACAAGCTTCTCTTAGCTGCATAGTGGCATACACCTGCATGCCCAGCACTCTAGGAGGCTGAAGAAGCACAAAGATCACAGGGTCAGGCCCCACCTGAGACACAGTAACTTAGCAAGACTCTGCCTCAAAAAAAAAAATTATAAAAGGAACTGAGGTTGTACAAAGTACAATGCTCCCAGGTTTAATCTCCAGTACTGTGGGAAAAAAATCTCTTGGTCCCAGCTGTAGACTAAGTCCTCACATTTTGAGACTTTCTCATGGTAATATGCTTCTTCAGTCTCCAAATGAGCTCACCTCTGAAGTGAGTAGGGCATCAAACTTAATTCAAACTGAAATTCAAACAAATTATTTCTGAGAATCCTTAAAAGGAGAGATGGGTAAAATGATTTCTGCTGTAATGCTTCAATGAGCTCAGTTCTCCATATTGAGAGGAAAATAATAGACTAAAGCAGCTTAAAAGATGTGGCCGTGTTGGCCTGTCCCTGTTCATAGTGGGCACGTTGCATGGAAAGGGCCGTTCATGGTGTGGGACGCTCTCTCACCCGTGGATGTTTGCTGTTCTGGGTGGGATGTGACTGTTGAAGTCAGATGCCCACTTGAGCTTAGAGAGAGGACAAACGTCCTATTTACTCTCCATTTCTGCTGCTTCTAAATATGTTTTCTGCTAGAGTAGTGCTTTTCTACTCTGTACTTTAAAAATCAAGTGGTTGTCTTGCAAGAGTATGGTCCTGAGTTCGATCCCAGGTACCAAAAAAAAAAAAAAATCAAGTGTGTGGCCTTTCTAAACATATTGATGTTTAAGATTCTCAGCAGACCAGACTTTAGGATGGAACATGGGCGTTATTATTTTTAAAGTTCATTCGATAATTCTACTACGCAGCCAGTGTTGAAAGAAACAGGTCTATTGTGTGGGCAGACACGGGAGAAATGGGTGACTTTCAAGTCAGGTGTGGAATCTTAGAGGCGGGGAAGGAAGCTGAGGTCACAGAGTTGTAGGTATCTCCCCCACAGCCCGTGGTACATGTGAGTGAGAAGGCAGCAACGGAACGGAGACCTTCTGACTCTTTGGCCACTACCTTCCTACTTGCCCTGCTTCATGTTTTAGGCCCTGAGAGAAAATCTGTGAGGAAACCAGTATTTTAGGTGGGAATTTGGATTCATTCTTCACTTTTCTACAGCACACGGAAATTTATAAAATATTTTCATATTCATAATCTTATTTGACTCTGACAAAGGCCCTTTGTAGGAGACAAGTTTCCTTATTTGTATTTCCATCGATGTTGTAAGGATATACTTAGAACAGGCAGGATGTGTCCAGTCTGGAACAATAACCCAGCTCTTCAGTGCCTCCCTCTTTCTCCCACACCACTAACCACACATGATTTTGTTTTGATTGGCAGTGGGGGCGCAGGTGGGACAAAGACACCAGACAAGAATATTACACAAATACACCGGATGCTCCCAGTCTTGAGGGTTTGTGAAGGTGGGAACAGGGAAGTCATGTGGTATAGCTCAAGTTATTTACCATCAGAAAGAATTGGGTGCAGACCCAAGTCTGAGGCTAAGTAACTTTGTGTGGATTGAATTTCCACCCCTAAGCAGTGAAGATAATTAAATGTACAGATTAAATGTACATAAAGAGCCTGACTCCTAATAGATGTTCAGTCGGTGGTGGCTATGACATGATTATCATGCTGTAAGAGTTTGGGAACTTGGTGTAGATGATTTAAAAAGGCAATGATTATTGCTTGTCTTAAATCAGATTAAAGGCAGGAAAACTTAACAGGAAACGAAAATATCCTCTTCAAGCTAATTATTTCTTTTTTATTGGGAAAGCTTTCATTAACAGTGTGGGTGATCCTGAATCTGGCTATGGTTTAAAAGAAAGCCATAAGAGAAGGTTGCCATTTTCAATAATTAATCAGGTATTTACAGCTTCTTTCCTCCCCCTTCTGTTTTCCTTCCCTCTTCTCTTTCTTGATCCCAAGGGTTAATGGTGTTTAATCAGGATTTAGCTGCCCTGAGATCAGGAGGGATCAGCATTCTGTTGCTCTAAAGAATGTTCCTTAGTTGCTTTCAGGAACTTCTTTTGAAAAAGATCACCTAGAGACTCTGGGGTTCAGAAACACATTTACTCAAGGAAACATCTCTGAAAACTGTTTGTGCTAGTGAAAATAAAAACTAGGAAGCCTCCTTTCCCTTACCTGGTAATTTGATGGGTGGTTCATTTAAGAGTTTCACATCCAACAATAACCAAGTATTAAATTTTGAAACTTGCAAGTCATTTTCCCAAAATATCCAATGGAATTTAATGACACATCATTTTTTTTTAGAGTCCATAGTAAAATGGCAACAAGTTTTGAAGCTGTAGTGTAAAATGTTTGTATGAAAGGCTGCCCAACTCTATCCTGTGGTGCCCTGTGGTATTTCATTTGTTCTTTCAGTGCCTAGGACAGCTGTCTCAATGAAGATGATTGGAATCTGCAATGGATAACAGAGTAAGAGGAAAGCGGTATGCAAACTGGTCCAAGCAAGCAGTGGATTAGAGAAGAATCTAAAACAGTCTAGAGACAGTTGCTGAAGGGTGAAGATGCTTCAAGACACAAAGAGAGAAGTAGCAGATAAATCAGGAAAGAAATGCAGCAATTCGTGGCATGGGGTAGAGCATGGGCCCTCATGGGGCAGGTGCTCCTGGGCATAAGAAGTCTATGTCTTGCTAAGGACATCTAATTTTTTCAGTGACTAGAACTGGTTTAAAAATCTAAGATTGGAAGCAAAATGGTAACTGCAAAAGAGAACTATTTTTTTGTGAGAGAGGGTCCAAAAAAGACCTAAGTTTCTTTTCCCAGTATTAAGCTAATACCGCCTCTGTGTCGGACAATTTTCTGAATTCTCTACCCATAGTCTACTGCTCTATCATCACATCACAGATTCTAGTTAGTAGATAGGATCATTCTCTCCGTTTTTATGTTAGAATACAAGGACACACAGGGTAAGTGATATACCCAGGATTGCGGCCTGGTTTCAACCACGGAAGTCTGACTCTAGAATCTTCTTCACCATTATGCAATATTGCCTCCCCCAAAATAGGTGTTTGAGGTGTGTCTGCTTTGAGAAGGGAATGGAAGAGATCTAAGGTGAAGGGCTGCATTTGATTCTTTGAGCGTCACTTTTACCTTGGGAATGATCCCATCTCTAGGTGTCTTCCACAGGAGCAATTCGTGTATCAGGTTGAATACCAGGGTAAAAATACAGATTATTGGCAATTTATGGAACATTTTAGAATACAGACTCCACCTTAGGAGTTCAGGATTTGGTGACTCTGATGTGAGGTCTTGGAATCTGATCTATCTGCCATTGATTCTGGAGCAGAGCTGGGCCTGTACCTAGAAACCAAACGGCCCTTGTTTCTGGTGCAGATTCTGGCCTGGAAATTACAGGGCAATGGGTGCTCACACTTTTACCTTGGGAAATGAAATAGAATTCAGCCTCTAAGATTTGTGCTGCTTTTAGAAGCATCATCAATAAGTGAAATGAAAATAGTGTAATTTATGAAAAGAATGTCACTTTAATTTTAGTCAGTGAGTCTCAGAGTTAGGCTAAAAATTCAGTGCTAATTGAAAAAGACGCAGGTTTCAAAGAGAACATCAGAGCCCAAGGAAAGGTAGGTGTCCATCCATCTAGAGTTAGAGTCTCGGACGCTGTAGCTAATAAGGAAACTGCAGCTTCTCCAGACTCGTCACTCAGCTGTTACCATAGCAGGGTATCAGAATCATCGCCTGCATACACTATAGAAGGTCTGTGTCTGGGAAAATCATCTGTCTGAGGGAGAGAGACAGCGACAGAGAGAGGGAGAGAGGGAGAGAGAGAATAGGAAGTTGGTAAGTATCTGATGTTGGCAAGAGGGTGGTCTTCTCATACAGTGGAAGCAAGAATGTCAAACTTCCATAAAAATGATTTGTTCTAAATAAAATTGCATATAACCTATGGACATAGCCAAGTAATTTCTTCTCTGGGAATCTATAACGTAAAAACAAAATCAAGAATTATTAGCTCAGTTGTCACTGTGGCAGGGAAAACTGTAAGCAGCCTTAATCATTCGAAAATACTTCAATGATCTCAAAGCAGGCATAATGTGGGGTACTATATAATACTCCAGGAGATGAACTCATTTCCATCTGAGTTTCTCTGGAGCAAAGTCTGTAAGATGCTTTTACACGATGAAAGTATCATACAAAATTAGAAAAGCAAATTTTATAAAAAGCAACAAGGAAAATCTTTGTCCAAGCATAGGGAAAAACATAGGAGACATATCACAGAGCTAACACTGATCTCCCCAAGTAGGTGAACTGGAAGATTGGGAGAGTAGTTTTTTTTTACTATACCACGACATGTGGGTTGGCTGGTCTCTAGTTCAAGAAGGATGTGTGTGACACCAGCTTGCTCTTTCCTGCACATTTTCTTACTGTCCGTTGCAGTGCTGCACATCCCCGTCCTTTCTCAGCACCTCGCTTTCCTCTAGGCTGTGCAATCACTACTTCCTCCTGGCCCAACCTCAGACTAACTTGGACAAACCACAGCTCACAGGGACTGCTCATTCTCAAATGAGCAATTGTTTTCCACACAGTCATAGAATGACGAGTGTCAGGTCAGGGCACTAATTGTGTGGCACCATCATGCTGGGGCCTTGGTTATATATACTGGCATTAGAGAGAATGTCTGAGCTCTGCTGCTCCATGATTCTGTGATGTTTTGGCAAATATGTGAATATGTTTTTCAGAACAGCCATTTTTCTGACTTCATGGACAAAATGACTGGGTATATCACAAGGAACCTGCTGGCAACTCCGATCATGATGGGCAAGGAGGTTCTTGCTGTGGTTATGGCAGTAAACAAAGTAAATGCATCAGAGTTTTCCAAACAGGATGAGGAGGTAATGCTGACCCTGGGCATCCTGTCAGAGGGGCAGGATGTTGTGTTGTATAACCAAGGGAATGGTGTTAAAACTATAGTTTCTTCTTCTCTGCCATTTGTAGGTCTTTTCCAAATGCCTCAACTTTGTTTCTGTCATCCTAAGGCTTCAGCATATCAATTACCTGTACAGCGTTGAGTCCAGAAGAAGTCAGGTAAAGGCAAAGTGACATCAGTCACTCCATGCTAACCTAGGCCCAGATGCCTCTCATTCCTCTTGGGGACTGAAGCTCCAGGAAGCAGATCCCTAACTTCAGTCTTTGGTGTCTTCTTGTGGTCTCCTCCCTCCTCCCCCTCAACCCTCCATCTGTATGTACAACTTGTTGGGCTTCTTCCACTCTAAATCCTGAGTGGCCTTGATTTCTTTATCTACAAAATAGTGATGATAATTTTAATACCTACTTCATATGGCTGGTGAGGCTATTGAATAGTCATTAGTTCTCATATGAAGCTCTCTCTTAGCAGTTCCTTGGTCGTGGTAAAAATATTAGTTTTAAGAGAAAATCATTGCTCTGAGGTTCATTGTTTCTATGAGGCAGAGTTTAAATAACAGTATGGCCAGGCTACTTGAGCCTGGAGCCTCAGTCTACTCATCTTTACAATGTAGAAGCAGGTGTTAAGATGGAGAGCTTTTACGGTCCCTTCCCATTCTAACTCTCCAAAACAGGTTACCTCTGACTAGCTCTGGATATATGAAGAAGTCATGTGGCTTTCTACCCACAAGGGCCAGCAAAAGCCAATGGGTCACCAGTACTAGACCCTCTTCCCAAGAACTATCTCTACTTCCAACTTGAGAGCACTTGTCCTTTGAATCCAAAACATTTGGTGAAGGGGACTAATTATAGATTCACTTCCTTGTGACCTTGCAAAAGTCTACTCATAGTCCTGCTTAAAGAATCTGAGTAGTTGGGTATATACATGCTCAAACATAGCACTGCGTTGTCTAATGATTTGCAGTTAGTCTATTTAATTCAAGTATGTATTTAGTTTATTTGATCACCTCCTTTTCTCTCAGAAAATGCTGTACCTCTCTATGGTATTTTGTTCTAACTGTTTTCCTTTTAACATCTACTTTCAGATCCTTATGTGGTCAGCCAATAAAGTATTTGAAGAGCTCACGGATGTTGAGAGACAGTTTCACAAAGTGCTGTACACAGTTAGAACATATCTGAACTGTGAACGGTACTCCATTGGACTGCTGGACATGACTAAAGAGAAGGTCCTCATTGTTTCATACATCTTGTCTCACCCCCAAATCACCCATAAAGCACTGTCGTGTGAAACACGATCCATTGAAAAATAGTCATGACAAATCCTAGGAACCAGTGTCAAGAAAGGCCGATACAGTGCTCATTTGGGAGTGAAAGTGGTATAGGCTTAAATTTTGGCATTTTAGCTCCTTATTTGTATCTTCATCAAGTCTTTTTTATTTTAAAAATTAACAATCCTTCGTTTTTATATCAGTTTTGGTTTGTTAAAACATTGAGCAGAAAGTACAAAGTTCCCATCAGTGTACTCACCCTTCACGTCCCCTCCACCAGCTTTTCCTGTTAGCGGAATCTTGTGTTAGTGTGATAAATTTGCCCCAGTTGATGAACCAATATTGATACGTTATTATTGACTAAAGTTCACCATTTACACTACAGTATACTCTGTTTCATATAGTTATATAGATTTGAAAAATGCATAATGTCATATGTCTGCTATGAAAATAGCAAACAGAATAGTTTTAGTTCCCTAAAAATCCTGACTTCCACTTACTTAACCCTCTTCGTCCCTCTCCAAACTTGGCAGCCATTCTTTTTACTGCTTTTATATTTTTGCCTTTTCTAGAATATTGTACAGTTGGAATCATATACTACATAATTTTTCAGACTAGTTTCTTCGTCTTAACAGAATGCATGGAGGTCTCCTCCATATATCTCTTTGTCTCAATGACTCACTTTAAAATTTTTTTTCTTAAAAATTTGAAATTATGATCGACAAATAATTGTAGATATTTATGTGACATTTTGATATATGTATACATTGTGAGTGATTAGCATATCAAGTTGATATATATCATGTCACATATTGCTTTCTATATTGAAAACATGTAGAACTTCTTTTAGAAGCTTTAACATGTACAATAAATCTTGAACACATATTCCTCCTATCTAACTGGAATATTACAGCATTTGGGAAACTTCTATTCTTCCTGTTCACCATCCCCTAACAGCCTTTGGTAACCACCATTCTCTGTACTTCTGTAAGTTTGGCTTTTTTAAGATTTCACATGTAAGTGAAGTCATGTAATAATTGTCTTTTTGTGTCTATATTCTTTAGTATAATGTTCTCCAGGATTTGCCTCTTTTTAAAGGTTGAATAATAGTCATATATACATATATGTAGTGAATAATATATATTTCACATTTTATTTGTCCATTCACCCTTTGATAAATACTTAGGTTGATTACATATCTTGGGCACAGATCATTTCTTTTGTCATTATAACCTTCCACTGTATGGAGGTGTGTTTCTCATCTCACCTATTGAAGCGTATCTCAGTTGTTTCTAGTTTGAAGCAATCTGCCATAACACTGTGTGTAGGTCTCTGTATATGTAATAGTTTTCAACTTGGGCAAATACCAAAGAGGCAAATTAGTGGCTCATATGGTGATACTATGTTTATCTTTCTAAAACACTGCTGGAGTGTCCTCCCAAGCGTAAGAACCAGTACTGGATGAGAGTTCTTGCTCCACCTCCTCACCAGCAGCTGGTGGTGTCAGTATTTTGGGCTTTAGCCATTCTAATAGAGGTGGTGATAGATTGTTTTTGTTTTAATTTGTAATTCCCTAGTAGTGTACGATGTTAAGCATCTTTTCATAGGCTCAGTTGCCATTTGAGTAGCTTCTTTTCCCCATTTTTAATTGGATTGTTTGTTTTCTTATAATTCAGTTGCAAGAGTTCTTTGCATCTGGGTGTGGTAACATATGGTAGTATACAACACTAGGAAACTGAGGCGGGAGCATCACTTGAACTCGGGAGTTCAGGACCACGTTGGGCAACATAACAAGACCTCATCTCAAAAAGAAGTTCTTTACACATTTTGGATACAAGCCTGTTATTGAATATGTGTTTTGCAAATATTTTCTCTCAGTCTGTGGCTCTTCATTCTCTTCTCAGCAACTTAGATCTCATCAGCAAAGCATAGTTTTTAATTTTAATAATGTCCCAATTTTATACATTATGCTTTTGATGTATCTAGAAAGTCTCTTGCCTTGATTTTCTCGTATGTCATCTTCTAGAATGTTTATAATTTTGTGTTTTATATTTAGGCCCATGATTTGTGTTTTTTTTAATGACAGATATAAGGTTTGCATGTAGTTGTTTTTTTGTTTGTTTGTTTATTTTTCTGGAGCCAGGGATCAAACTCAGGACCTTGCACTTGTGAAGCAGGCGTGACACCACTTAATTTCCCTGACTCTTGGTTTTCTTATCTGAAAAAAATGAAGTCATTTTTTCATCAACTATGAAGATCTGCAATAACATATATAAAGTTTCTAGAATACAGTAGGTACATAACAAATGATACTATCCTCACTTTGACACTTTTGTATTCTGAAAAGTTTTAAATTATTTAAAATTAGAAATAATATAATATTATAATTCACAATATAATGCTTATTCTTTATCTTGTTTAATTCTGTTGGAGGTCTGGCAGTTAAATATAACTGATACTGTATCTTTTTTTTTTTTTACTACCAATGTGATTGGTAGTTATTTTTTTCAGAGCAATTGTTCTAAGTGGACAAGCATAAACCAGACATCAGTGAATCCGGATTCTGATCCTGGCTCTGGGACTTTCTAGCCAAATATATTGGTTAAGATGTTTTTGGCTACAAGGAACATCAGATCCAGCTAAAAGCACCTTTAACAAAATGACAGGAGTTCCAAGAGAAGTCTGTTCTAAGAGTGGCTCATTTAGAATTCAGTACAGTCCTCAAATTCTCAGGTGCCTTCCATTTTTTTCCTGGAAAGGTTTTTGCTACCTGTAGCATGCTGTGAGGTCTCTTCTTATGGGAACACGATGCATCTCAAAGCATGGCACACAGACATGACAAAATTGAGAGGTATTTTCTCCAAATGACACTTGCACCGTCTTTTACCTGAAGAATACCTTTGTCCAATCATCCTCAGCAGACATCTACTTCTTCACTGGCCAGAATGGGCCACATATTTGCCCTCCATTAATCCAGGCACTTCAATTAGACCACTTATAGATAACAAAGGACCCATCTCCCACGGACAGATTGCCACTAATACCCACATAAAATCAGATTCCACTAGAAAGAAGAAGGGAAAATGGATGCTGGGTAAGGAAACTGATATTTCTAGCTGCTCTGAGTGACCTTGGCCAAGTCTCTTATCTTACCTGGATCTACTTTAGTTGTTTGTGAAAGAACTGCTATCCATTGAGTACTTTTTATGCCAGGGTAGGTATTTCATATGTATTTTTTATTTAATCCTCACAAAAACCCACTAGTGTAAATTCTCCATTTTATAGATGGCAAACAAGTTAGAAGTAGTGTTACTGGGAATTATAAGTCACAGATCTAAAATTCCATAACTATATCAATTAACATAAACTATACAAACATACAAGCCCAATAAGATATAGAAGGTCATCAGCAGTTTGTTTAATGATGCTTAATATGATTGCCTCCAGGAATTCTTTGATGAATGGCCAATCAAGCTTGGAGAAGTGGAGCCTTACAAAGGTCCAAAGACGCCAGATGGCAGGGTAAATGCAAAAATCATGCTTGATGCTGTTAGTGTATGTTATCAAGTACTAAAATTAAGAGGTCATAATCCTGGAAAGGTCTAGACTGTGTTCCTGTAAATTTCTGCGGAAGCCTGGAGAAGTAGAAAGAATAATGAATAAGGAGTTTGAGGATCAAGTCCTGGCTCTGCTCCAGCCAGCTGAGTGATTCTTGCCTTAATTTATTGCTTTAACTGTTTGCTTCCTTTTGCATAAAGACAGGGTGTGATAGACCAGTGGTTCTCAACAGGAAGGAATGAGTTATGCACCTGCATAACTTTTTTTTTTTTTTTGGCTGTGTCAGGGATCGAACTCAGGACCCTGCTCTTGCAAGACAGGCTCATTGCCACTGAGCTAAATCCCCAGTCCTCTAAATAACTTTTTAAAGAAAGGCCCAGGCCCTTTTTCATGCTGGACTGGGTGGGATCTCCAGGTAAGGACTGGGTTAGATTTACAGTCATACCTCAGTACTTCTCAACGTTAGAATTCATCAAACCTGGTATTCATTGCATTTTGATAAGAAAAAATGTTTCTGCATCTAGCGCAGGCATCAATCTCATGGTAACTCATAATGTAGAATCTCTACATATCAATTGTTAGTTTTCTACTTTTAGGCATTTTAAGTGCTAGTCATGGGTCCCAAAAGAGGTTTAGAGTGACACCACTAAGCCTAAGAGCCTTATTCTATTAACTCAGTAAAAGGCTAATATTTACTCAGTAAAATGTGAAAGTTATGGGAAACTTTCATGAGTTATTTCTAAATACATTATTTCTTTTTAAAATTATGCATTATTTGAGTACGTATTCACAATGCATGATTACATTTACCATGAGAAGTATGTACATAACACATCTTACTTATTTTTGTCCACTTCTCTGCTCATTCCCCCTGCTCCCTCAAAATCTTGATCTTCCCTCCCTAAAAAGAGAGAATGAAAGAAAAAAAATGGAAATAAATACATTATTTCTTATTGGAAAATTTATTTGGTACTCGTTGGTTTCAGCACAAGTACCAAGATATGACTGTACTTTCACCCTTGACTGAAAGTTTCATGGGACTAAAACCTTCTCTATTTACCCCCACTGTATTCTCAGCACATAAGAAAGAGAAGTTATTGGGATGGAGAGTTTCCCACCTCAGGTTCTTCATCTGGCCCAGAAGTAGAGAGGCTAGTACCCAAGTCCCTTCCAACTTTGACAGTTGAACCCTGCCTCTCAGGCATCTGTTCAGATAAGCCAGTGCTGGAAAAGTTTGAGTGCTTATTGTGCTTGATGTACAACTGATTGCAACTGAGAAATTACTTGATTTGTTCTCGTGGAGTTATATAGCATCAGGTATCTCTGGAGAAGAAAAAGGGATCAGTTAAGAGTAAAAATAGAAAAGCTGGGGCTGGGGATTTAGCTCAGCGGTTCGGTGCCCTGCCTTGCAAGCTCAAGGACCCGAGTTCAATCCCCAGTACCAAAAAAAAAAAAAGAAAAGCTGGTGACTTGGTAGTCAAAGATGTCTCAAAAAGTTGTTTGTGTGAATTTAACTTTTTAAAAATGAAATTTAGTTCCACCTAAATGAACATAAATAGTCAATATTTCTGATTTTGTCTCTAGCTTGTATCCAGGATGTGAGTAGAAGTAATTTTTGTTATGCATAAAAATAGGACGAGGAAATTAGGTACTATGTGATTTTAAATAAGTATGCATTCTTCAGTGCAAAGTATTTTATTTGGGAAATAATACTATGCTTGTAATCTCCTTGTCTCTTAGGAAATAATCTTTTATAAAATAATTGATTATATTTTACATGGAAAAGAAGAAATCAAAGTGATTCCGTGAGTGTTGTCATGAGGTAGCCACAGGAGTTGCCATTTTATTTTTGCACACAATTCATTTCTCTATACAGCAGTAATTTTCTTTTTTCTAATATTCCTCAAGGATACCTCCTGCAGACCACTGGACACTCATTAGTGGGTTGCCAACGTATGTTGCTGAAAATGGATTTGTAAGTTATTGGACAAATATAAATTCTAAATAATACTGCATAAAACTCTTATTAACAAAAAATAGATACAATGTCAAAATGAGAGTGCACTGGGAAAGGTGAGATAACCACTTCATTTAGAACAGCACATAAGGGAAAGAGGTTTGGCAGTTAAATACTTTGAAACTCTATATAAAAATATTTAGTCAACATGAAAAAGATTCATTCATCCCTCCTCTTATTCTGCAGCTATACAAAGTTCAGACATGCTTTTAAAGTCAATGCTATGATTCATTCAATGTTTAATTCTATCTCTAGCATTTTGATTAATTTTTGAAACATTAGAAAAAAAATATGGACAAACAGGGTGATCATTTCTGTGGTCTTGGGCTTGTAAGATCTTGATCCAATTCTAAATATTCTCCTGAGGCCCAAGCATAGGATGACACATGTATTGTTAACAGAAAGATCAGAAAAGAGAAATGAGCTAATTGTTTTTGCCTCTTTAAACCACATTTGAAGGATGCTTTGCCCATAAAATGATGTAATACCTTAATGAATGGTGCAAACTTTTTAGGTTATAAATTCTCATAAAAACTTTGAAATTGTGTTCACATTTCCTTTGTAAGAATAATACAAAAATAGTTTATGTGGTTCAAGTATTCCTAGAAAGAATTTATCTTGGGGCCGCAGTGTTAATAGGGTTTGTTGTGGTAGGTAAGGAGCCCACTCAGATCAACTGACAAAATAGTTAGATTTTTAAGTATTTTTAAGCCATGAAACTGTTGGCAACTTGAACGCTCCATAGCAGGAGTATTTATACTATGCAGATGGGCAAAAAGCACAAAGTAGGGTTCTCTCACCTTTGCCCAATTCTGCCAGTTTTGCTAAAGATAAGATTTGCTATCATGAATTTGAACACATCACTTAACCATTTTTGGACTTCTGTTTCTTCATCTTTAAACGAGGAAGTTTAAACTAAATCATTGATGTTCTTTCAGCCTTAAAATTCTGTGGTTTTAAATTTTACTGTAACATTGGTGGGAAGAAAGATACTCTTTTATTAAAACCCATTTGTGGAAATGACATAAATTACAAATACATTAGAATGAGTCAAAATGGAATGACTTCTTATCCTCGTGGATGTGAGCAATAGCTTCTGAATTTCAGTAGTTGAAGTGGTTTCTCCCCCAATGAATCCTTACTTTGGTGCAACTGAAAGGCTGCCTGGCTTTCTCCCTCTTCCTGTAGGCCACATTCTTCTTACTTGGATCCCACTCTAGAGGAAGCAAAGACCAATCCGAGCACCACAGCTCACACCTGCCCCAGAAGAGTGGCCTTTCTGTTCAGGTTTCTCCTCTTCTGGGCCTGAACAGCTGGTAGTTTTGCATTTGAAAGGGATTGGTTGGAAGCTGAAAAAGTGGGAAGGCGCAGAGATGGTGCTCAGTGACTAAGAAGAGAAGCCAACCTCAATGAGTGGTTAGCAAATATGGCTGAGCTGAAGTCCAGTGTGGATAATTCCATCACAAGCAGTTGAGGATCATGTCGGAAGCCCTCACTTCTGATCCATTCTGTCTTGTTCTCCTTTGTGGGTTTAAATGACTCCACTACAAGATATTTCAGGACTCTGCTGGGCGTGGTGGCGCATGCCTGCAATCCCAGCACTAGGGAGGCTGAGGCAGGAGGATTACTGTGAGTTCGAGACCAGCCTGGGCTACATAGTGAGTTTCAGGTCAGTCTCAACTACAAAGTGAGACCCTGTCTAAAAAAAAAAAAAATATTTCAGGACTCTTGTCTGCTCTTGCTTACAGATATGTAACATGCTGAATGCCCCTGCAGACGAATACTTCACATTCCAGGTAACTGGGCCCTCAACCAAGCCTCACCCTTCAGGGCTAGAGTAGGAGGGGACACTCTCTCCTTTCCTCAGCCCCCAGAGACGGCCACATCTTCAGACATGGCCAACAGCCAGACCCAGGGCCCACTCACCCTGGCTAGACCAGAAGCCACCAAGTGGCAGACACCTCAGGGGGGGGGGGAGCTGGAAAGAAGGATAAGAGAAAAGACAGGGATGCCCTCAACTCCTCCATTCTCTCCCACATCTGGTCCTCTGGTGGCAACAACAAAGCCTAGAACATCACTGATGTTCAATAACTGTTCTTTGCCGAACAGTCGGCTGTCCTACCACCTGAATCCAGCCTTGCTCACTGGCAGGATTGTAGTTTCTCAACAATCCTTCCCTGCCTCTTATTACAATTCTGATCATCAAAAGAAAATATTTTATTGGGTTCCTGCATTTTATCTTTCTCTCCTAACTTTCAGAGACCCAGTTCCTGAAGAATCCATCTCTGCTCACCACAGAAAAGCCCCTGACCCAGCCACCCTGTGTCTGCTGACTTGGCTGTCACAGCTGCTGTGGTTTGAATGTGTTCCCAAAAGTTCACGTGTCTGAAACTGAATCCCCAAATTCATCTGTGGATGGGTCTTTGAAAGGAAATCGGGTTAGATAAGGCCATGAGTCTTTTGTCCCCGACATGGCATTATAAGAAAAAGAAAGACGCCGATGCTCACGTCTTCCCTTCTCATCGTGTGGTGCTCCTCACTGTAATGTGAAGCATCAGGAAGGCCCTCACCAGCTGGTGGTGCCATGATTTTGGAATTCCCAGCCTCCAGAATGATGAGAACTGAAAATGTCTTTTCTTCATACTTTATCCAGTCTGTTCTATCACAGCAGCAGAAAATAGACTAAGACAGTGACTTTCTGCTTGGACTTGGCTGCAGGACTTGGGGCTCCTTTGTACCCTTTCCGATTCCATGCAATTCACCAAAAGGCTGTCACCTTTACTACGCCTCCCCTACACATCCTTTCTCCTTACTTGCTGCCCCTCCCACCCTCCACCTGTTCCCCTGCCACAGACCGCAGTGGACCGTGGAGGATATAAGCTGTCATTGCCTCGGCAGCTTCTTCTTTCTACCTGCTGGTTGCTCTGTGTCCTGCATTTAACAAACATCGGGTTAGAGTCTTAATCCCAGGCAGGCGTAGAGACTAGAGACTAGAGAGGTAGAGACTCCCGGTGGGCACCGGTAGTTTCTTGTCTTCCCATTTCTCTTTGTCTGCCTCTGCACACCAATCCATCTGCGCCTAGATGGAAGGGCTGGCCTTGCTGTGTGACTGCTGTTCCTCGAGGAGCAAATCACACTGCTTGCTTGTTGACATGCAAGGTTCCTGAGATCTGCCTGCCCATCCCTCTGCTTACTATTGTGGAAAATACACACACCATGTGGATGTATGGGCTCTCACTTCCTCCCTGCAGCTAAAGCCTGCTGCAACCACACTATGCTCATCTCTGAGGCTTATGTCTATGGAAAGTGGTTTCCAGAGTAGAATATGCAAGGAAAAGTGCAACAGTGGCTTCCTAAAGTATCTGAAGCCTGAACAGTGTGATCTACACAGGCAGTGGGACAGACTTGGAAGAGACTAAGTGGTATTTTTTTTTTAAACCAGGGCTCAAACTTGGGACCTTGCTCTTGGGAGGCAAGCGGTGGAACCACTGAGCTAAATCCCCCCCACCATGGCTCAAGAGAACCAAATGTTCATTAAAGTCTGAGGGGCCATGCTTTCTCTCATGCCGCACCTTGACTATTGCAGGAGCAGAAACAGAAGGGCAACCTTCTGGATACCCTGAGAGGAAGCTGGGGGTTTCCTTCGGGCCCACGACTCCCCATGGTATGACAGACTTCTGGTCCATGGGGATTCCTCAGTTCCCAGGGAACAGTGTGGCACCCACAGAAGGGTACTCCTCAGAGCTCCAGCCATCCTGTGGCTGCCATGCTCCACAGGCCATCCTCACATTGGTTCTAAGGCTGGCCCTCCCAAGCCAGAGACTGTGCATGGTAGAAATGGCAATATAGGCCTATCCCGGGGTATAAACAGACTCTCCTGACAGGCAACATTGGCCAGGAACCTCTGACAGCCCTGCAGACTGTTCTAGAACTGCACTGTGGTCTAAGGTGCTCCCAACACCTACCCCTGCATTCTGCCCTTTCTCCTTAGCTAGGCCAGAACTGCAGCTCTATGTAGCAGCCTTCTCAGCCCCCTGAATCTTCCTCCCCTTTTTCTTCAAAGGTATCTCCTGTCCATCGTTCCCCAGAACACACCCAGGATGGAGAGGCCACTCTCCCTAAATAACCACCTGTTTTCTACCTGCTCAGGCACTACCCCAGTTTTCACTGTTCTCTATTGCACCTGATAAGTTTGATAGAAAAGCCAATAATCTAAAATGAGACATTGTCGGGGAGAGTAAACCTGCGAAGGCAGTGGTTCTCAAACAATGCTTTTTGGGACACATTGTGTTTGATTCCTATTGCTGGTGTAACAGATTACCACTCAATGGCTTAAAACAAAACATCCTGCAGTTGTGGAGGTCAGAAATCCAAAATGGGTCACTTTGAACTAAAATCAAGATATTGGCAGGACTGTGCCCTGCTCTAGAGGAGAACTTGCCTCCTTGCCTCCCCTAGAGCTCACCCCTATTCTTTGGCTCATGGCCCCTTTGTCTTCATGTCAGGTCTTTCTGTCCTTGCCATGTCATCATATTGCTTTCTCTGATTTTGACTCCATCCTCCCTTATTACTTTTAAGGATCCTTTTAATTACTTTGGGTCCCCCTGGAAAAATCCAGGATAATCCCTATCTTACGGTTAGTTTAATTCTAATTGCTACTTTAGTTCTCAGTTGCAATATTAGGGTATCATATTTATAAATTCCAGGGATTAAGATAAAGACCCAGTGTTAAGATAGGGGCCAGTGTTCTATCTACCACACTATTCCTTAACATATAGTAAGGGATTCTTCCTTTAAAATCAATTTAAATGATCTCATTTCATGGGGAAAAAGCACATAGAATTTTCTCAGTTTTAGGTTTTTATCCTATTATTTTTTCTTAAATGTTAGATTCCTTCTGTCATTTTGCTATCAAAACCTCTAATTAATGGCAAGACATGAAAAGAACAGGTGGCAAATAAATATTTACTAAAGCACTGAGAAGGCCAGGTGTGGTCCCATGGTCCCCAGGGAAATTATGTAAGATACACTCCCAGAGACCATGAAACATGTTAAAGAGAACCTGTTGTGTGTGGTCCTTGAGATACATTATGAAAAACACTCTTGAACATTTATGCTTGCATCCTCTCCCACTAATTGCAAGCGTACTGAGGGTGGGGTCTATTATTTATTCACCACCATAGCCCCAGCCAACTAGCCTGGTTCTTGGTACACCAACAAGGCTTGACAGACATTTACTAAACCCAATGTACCATAAAACAGAAGACTACCTTGATGGACTGCTCAGGAAAACAGAACCACATTAAGTACTTCAACAGAGAGAATTTAATAGAAGAAATTTGCTAAATAGGCATTTCAGGCCATAAAAAGTAAAAAGACAACAGTGAAGTTATATAGGGTTTAGAGGCTCTTTCTATCCTTGGAGCAGGGAACAAAGGGACCAGGTTAGAGTTGTCATAACAGACAATTGCTTTTAGTTCTACTATACCTTACTGGATGCCGTACAGGATTTATAATGGTTGTACAGTCATACTTATGTTCTGACACCAAATGGGGATTGCACATGCGGCACTGAAATATTTACTTAGACTAAATGGTGGGTGGTAAGGTAGTGATTATTCAAGGATGTCTTGTGCTAAGGAAATAGCTCTGTATTCTTGATGCTAAGAGTGGTTGAAAATCAATACATGGGATAAGCTTGGGTAGAACTGTAAACACGCATGTATGCACACACACATAGAAATAAGGACATATAAAGCTGATGAAATCTAAATAAGCTCTGTAGATTGTATACTGTTTTCTAGTTTTGATTTTGTACTATAGTTACACAAGATGTTACCACTGGCACAAACTTGGTACATGAGACTTCTCAAGACATTTCACAGCACCTTATAAATCTGTACTATTTCCAATGAAAAAGTACCAAAATGAAATAAACAAGTTATTTTCTTATTGTTTGTAGAAAGGACCTGTAGATGAAACTGGCTGGCTTATTAAAAATGTCTTATCCCTGCCTATTGTCAACAAGAAAGAAGATATTGTGGGTGTCGCTACGTTTTACAACAGGAAGGATGGAAAACCCTTTGATGAGCATGACGAGCACATTACTGAGGTAAGCGCAACAATGAAGTAATGGAGGGCAGGGAAGTTTATGAAATAACGGAGAATGCATAATGGTTTGTATTAAGGCATGAGTCACACTGTGCTTGCAACCAAATGTTGTTTTGTCGTTTCTGTTTCCTGAGTTCTTTAAACTGCAACATCTTTTATTTAAGATTGAAAGGTAGCCTAACCCACATGTTTTCTACTTCTGGAAAAACGGGAGAGAATATTTTTGTCTTTCTCCTTCCCCTCTGCCTTACTGTTATTCCCCCTCATTCTCATTTTCAACTCATGTAGCCCTCTGTCTGATTTTTTGGTTCTGTTTGATTCCACTGGTGTTTGTAATTTCTCCCCTGAGATAGAAGATTCGTGGTATATTGCACTTTGAAAAGCAAGGTTTAGCAGAGTTTATTGTCTAGGGTAGTAAATTCACGTGGTTTTTCTTATATTAAAAGAAAGAATTGGGGTCTTGATGGTACGGAGGAGGCTGACGGACAGGGCAACCTGCAGATGTGCCTCCAAATCAGTTTTTCTCCAACTATAGAGACTCTGAGCCACGTTTATACATTTCAGACTCTCACACAGTTTCTTGGATGGTCTCTTCTAAATACGGACGCCTATGAGAAAATGAATAAGCTAGAAAGCAGAAAGGACATTGCTCAGGAAATGCTTATGAACCAGATCAAAGCCTCTGCTGATGAAATTAAGTCTGTTTTGGTAAGTGTTGAATTCAGTCTGTTGGACATTGGGCGATGTAAATCTTAGCTTCTGGAAACCACCTAATTACCCAGGAGTCTGACAAATGAGAAGAGGTTTAGCCTGTGATAAAGAAAGGAAGACAGGGAAGGAGAGGTGGGAGGTGGCGCTTGATGGCCCAGGGTCCACAGACCCTCATGATGTCCATATTGCTGTGTTGAAATGGCACTTGGTTAAAACAGTTCCTGGGTCTAGAGAGCTGAATTAGTGACATCTAAAGTTAAGTATATTAACAAGGCAAAAAAATATTTCCAGGAAGAGCAACGTAGCAGTCAGCTATTTTCATACAATGCTGTGTGACAACAACCATAACATCTCAGTGGTATACAGTAATAAACATCTATCTTTCTCTCCTCATTTGGGTTTGACCAGTCTTTCTTTTTCATTGACTGAATGTGGCTCTAACCTGTGAGTTTGGATTTCTCTGTGCATCTCTTATCTTCTGTGGACCAGCCACTGCCTGATAAATGCTTTTCTCACACTAGTCTTAGAAGTGCAGAAAGGGAGCCCCACTGTGCAAGCACATTTCAAATCTCTGAACACATCACAGTCAGTTAAATTGTCATTTATCAAAGGAAGTCTCATGATCAAGACATGAATGATGGAGGAGTTCATGGATTCTTGCTAAGCATTCTAGTCACCACAGAAGGAAGGGAAACTATCACGTTCTCACTGTCACTATTCCTTGCATTTCCTTAGCTTTGAAAATGTGTGTAGTTTTGTGGACAGTTTTTGTCTTGTTTTGGTTTTGCTGGATGGTAAGAGTGAAAGTTAAAACATACTCGATTTGGAGGTCTGAAATATTAAAGATGAGAAAGTATAGAGGAATCATGAAAAATTGCTATTAGGTACTAGAAAAACAGATGTAAGCCACTCATTTTTTTCCTTTTTCTTACCTACATAACATAATCCACACTTCTTTTTTTGTTGTTGTTCTTTTTGTGTGTGTGTGATGGCTACTGTTACACTTTGGGAGACTAGAGAAATCAATAATATTAGATTATTTCTTGGATAGCATTGTTCATAATAAGAATACAGAATATGTATTTATCATGGACTTTTTACAGCACATTTTGAATATATCTTATCTGATTTTAATGGTGGAAGAATCAGAAATCTTCATAGGCATTTTACACCTCAATTGCTTTTACATTTTAGAAATTTAAAGAGAAGTTAAATATGGATGTAATTGAAGACTGTGAAGAAAAACAACTTGTCACAATTTTGGTAAGTGTCTTTCTTCTCTCCCTGATGCCTTTTTTAATAAAATATATTAGAGCATGCTTTCTCAGTTTTTAATAAATATTGAGCTTCTTTCATCTTGACACTTTTCAAGGCCAAAAGGACAAGAGATCTTTGTTTAAAGTCTGATCTTCTGATTTCCTACTTTTCTTTCTTCGGTGTTCACTACAATTAAGTTTACAAGCTAAAATAGGCTCCTGCATGAGGAATCTCAGGCACAGAATCTATCATAGCATGGTTTATTGTAGATTGTGCCATGGCTGCCCAGAGGACGTGCTGGAGTGACACTAGAACATTTCTTTTGTGGTGCTTGGAGAGACTTAGTGCTTTCTGGTTGTGGCCATTAGCTCACCTCTGTTATTTCTGGTTGAAATTAACTTCTCTTCCAGTTGGCTAGTCTTGTCCTTTGTTGCATTCAGTCTACAATTAAATACGCTATGTTATCAATTTTAGAGAGTGTCTCTTTCAATTCTAGAGTTATATTTGATTCTTTTTTTCAAAGTTCAATTGTGACTATTTTTCTATTTTTAAAATTTTGTTGGTAATAATTATTTTGAAGTACTCCTTTCAATACCTGAATCACCTCAATGCTGGCTTTTATTGTTATTTTTACATGGGGGTTTCAGTCCCTTGACCCTGTTTTAAAACCTGCTTAATAACTTTTAAATTTATAAATAAAAACTTGTGGGGGCTCTGAGTGCTATTATCTTTCTGCAGAGAGGACTAGACTTCTTCTGGTAGATGAAGAAAGTTGGTTTGAGATTTTGTTGGGTGTGGTCTTTGCCCTTACTATTGGAGTAGAGCACTTGTTTCTAGTGAGGCTCTTCTGAGATCACACGGACTCCTGGGACATTTACCAAGATTTCAGAGTCCAAAATTCTGTATAATTGAAACTGAGATAATATCACATTTAATTTCCTGTAATCTACTTCATCTTGTTTGCCACTGCCCCTATGCAATTCATGATAGAAGAGTTCTAACTGAAGTCACACCAAATTGCCTGCCCCCTTCCCATTTTATGGGCTCTGTCCAGTCATACGGGTCCTTTGCTCTCCTGCCATAAACCACCAGCCTTTGACTCCTGTTAAGGGACCTGTCCCTCACCCCTCCATGCTTTTGTATTCCCTGAGATATCCTCTCTTTCTCCTACTTTCCTGGGCTCGGCCTCTGAGTGCTACCTCTCATACCTAGCCCAAGAGAGGACCCTTCCTCCTTACCTGTCCTCGGGTGTGCATGTTATTGTGAAACAAGACTGTGTGGACAAGCATAAGAAATTCTCTAGTAACCTTTGTAGAGGAGTAAGCACCTTATGCAGCAGAAGCAGTAAAATAGAGTACCATAGGCTTATCAAAAACAGCATGTTTTAAATGTAAAAGCCATTCTGAGCTAATTCTAAATCATTGGCGTATAAAACAGAAATTTAAACAAACAAATACACCAGAAGAGCTCTCCAGAATTATACTGGCATCTTTTCTCAAACATGGTATATTTGTCCATCTCCATTCAATCTGATTCTTTCTCCACGGGTACCCCTTAACTGTAGGCCCTGAGAAGGCTCAGCTGTCTCTCTGAGACACGACAGGGGCTCTGTGCATCTGTGCTGGGAAGGACCACAGTAGCAGTGCTCTGATTAAAGTAGAGAAGATGACCTTTGTGCTTAGGATACTTGGGCACTTGTGGAAGTCCCCACAGCTAACATTTTCCCAACGGTAGAAGATTTGCAGAGGAATTCTCAGTGAAGCACCTCATTCACCTATTCTTTATCCAGTCGCTACATTCATTACTGAAACACACCATACTACAAGGTGCAGTGTTAGGTGCTGAGGGCAAAAGATATTATGATCTGGTTCAAGGAGCCCTTTGTGGATTAAAGAAAGAAAAACACAAGCAAGGCCACTGCCCTCTTCAGACACAAGACAGTGTGTTGTCTCAGGGAAACCTGAGAAGCTGAAAGTAGCTGGAGTAGAGGTGAGAAGTGACAAAAGCTGCCTGGGAGGTGAGGCATAGGTGCCGGACAAAACTGTGATCAGCCTGCATTCTGGGACCTGGAAAATAACCTGATCAGAGTTCAGGAAAACCTCTGGGAGCAGATGAGGCCAGCCTGGCTGGAAGCAGGAGTCCTGGAGGGCAGTCGCATTGCAGCCACATGGGCTGTAGCAGCTTCCTCCACACCACCAGACCTCAGCTGTGTGAGTCCACCAAGGTGGAAAAAATCTTGGATGGGAGCCAGAGTGCCCATATATAAGAACAATAACAAGTCATCGTTTCTGTCAGTCTCTCTGTATCACAACCTGGAAAACTGTGGTTCTTCAAAACCTGCAGTTTCTGAATTACAGTAGTGTTTTATTGGTTTGCCCGAGACTGTAAATGGGGACTGAGAGTCATAATTCTGAGGAATTCGTACTTTTCTTCCTTCTAAAATGCACATTTGTACTTTGGCATGACCCAAGCTGCAGTGCAGCCCGAGTAAATTACCTTCTGTGTTTAAGTAACCCTGGGAGAGCAGTGGGTCTGACAAAGCCTCCAGCAGGAAGGCTCTGTGGCACAGGGCACCCCCACGCATAACTCACTCACCCTTTCACACTGACTGTTAGGAGTTGTCCTTACGGCATTGTCCGTCTCCCCTCGTGGGAGTGCATACTGGAGGGACTGCTTTGTCCATAATGTGGAGGACACGTGTTGGGAGGGCCTTGGGAGCCTCCAGGGGAAAGGGGCAGGAATGTGAGGGGCCAACCCAGGCATAGGAACTAGTAGACTAGAAACCATCATTTTGCCTAAGTATGGCTGAGTCTCAAATTTACCACCTGTAAAATGGGGACAATTCTGTATGTTTGTTTTGAGGGTCATCTACGCAAACTGTATAACCCAGTGTCTGGCATATACTGGCTCAGTAACCTGCCTATTCTTTTATCGTAATTTTTTACTTCAATGTTGGGTATGTGAGCGTAAAGGGAAAAGAATGAATGCAATCTGAAACAATCTGTCTTTTTAATAGAAAGAAGACTTGCCGGATCCAAAGGCAGTAGACCTATATGAATTCCACTTCAGTGACCTTTCCATTACTGAGCATGAATTAATTAAATGTGGACTACGAGTGTTTTTTGAAATCAATGTGGTGGAGAAATTCAAAGTACCTGTAGAGGTCAGATGGCATTTTATTCAAAATGCTGTTTGATTCTGTCACTGTACTTCACTGATGTTTTCTGTGGTTCAAAAGATTAACTTAGTTTGGATTTTAAATTATCATTAACTTTGTAAATACATCAGCTTAAACTCTGTCAACAAGACCAACACATCTTTTTAGATAAGATTGTCACAGACTTCTAACCTTTGGAGTTCTGTTCCAAAGTCTGAATGGTGTTGTCGCCTTTGGGTAACAGGTTCTTACCAGATGGATGTACACAGTGAGGAAGGGGTACCGTTCCATCACTTACCACAACTGGCGGCACGGATTCAATGTGGGGCAGACCATGTTTACCTTGTTGACGGTAAGTGCAGAGGGCTGGAAATCACTGGAAATCTGCATATTTACCACTTGAGTGTGGTGACAAACCGATATGGCCCATCATTTCAAATCCGTGATTTTGAAATTCACAAGCACAATTCCCACCCCGCAAAGATGACATGGTATCCCTAGGCACTTGGATTATTACTCAGATAGTCATTTATTTGCCTCTTGAAAACTTCCATCACTTACTAGATTATAGATTTGCAAAAATGCTACAAAATTCATGAGAAATAAAGCCAACTTGCTGTAAAAACATGATGGGTTCTCTTATCCACTGCAGGTACATCTTGCTACACTTCGAATAGACATTTATAAATCCACATAAATATGTATCACTCTATATTTTTAGACAGGAAGACTGAAGAAATATTACACAGATCTTGAAGCATTTGCCATGGTTGCTGCTGCTTTCTGCCATGATATTGACCACAGAGGCACCAATAATTTGTACCAAATGAAGTAAGTGAGCATAAAGCAATGTTGGCATGCACTGGCGAATGTTTGAAAATGCCAAGAAGGAGAAGAAACCTTTTTCCTTTCCCTCAGCCTAGTCAGTGTTTGAGGATTTCCAAGCCATGTTCTGCTCCCTCTTGAGAAAGCACCAGCCCTTATGACAAGACCCGTTCTTTCTCCCTAGCTGCCTGCATTCTGAGTCCCATTTTCCTTTTTGTTTCCATTTCCAAAAGGGCTCTACCTCATTCATATATGCCTTCACATTCTCTTCTTACAACTTTGCTTAATCAAAGTGTTGCATTCAAATACTAAAGTGTATTAATACTAGGCTTACACTACTGCACACCATTCCCCAGCTCAGGCTACAGAGCACTTCTGGCTTCTGTTAAACTCTTCTTTAGCAGGGCCCATCTTATTAAAATCAGTGCTATCGTCCTGTCCCGAGAAAAGAAGTGCAGTAATAAGGGTGTCAGATCAGGGCTCACAAATTTACTTTCTAAGGCTCAATTTCTTTATCTGAAATACAGGGAGTATGATAATGGAATCTAACATGGAAGGCTGTTGTACAGATTACATTAGATGATGGTATATAAAGCCCTCGCTCAGGATTAACTCTTAGCTGTTAATCAATATTAGGTATTATTATGACTGTTATAGTGTCACTGGCATTCTTCAAAACTCATCGGCAGTGCTTATGGCCAGCCCAGCCCACTGAGAGTGTTTTTTGGGATGCTTGACCTGTCTCAGACATTCTTCCTCCTCACTTCTGACGCATGGATTGCTCCTCTCCAGAAGCAATGAAGCTGTTTTGGAGATAAGAGCCTTTTTTGACTATGGTATTTGTGGACTCCAATTATTTTCTTAATCTCTATTTAAAATTAAGTTGCTTTGCTATAAACTGGGTATAATATTGACCTCTCAAAGACTATGATGAGAAGCAAATGAAATTATAGATGTAAAACCTACATAGTAATTGCTCAAGAAAAATGTATTCAGTGAATCAAAAGTTTTTGCCTTCAAAAATTGCCTTTATTGCCTTTAAAAAGAGTATTTCCCCTGAGGCTTGGGCAAGGTGTGTCTATCTCTAAAAGTGCCAGCCCACAGTGGCCACTCTGTCCTCTTGAACATAAGCCTCTCAGAAGTCATTGGAGTTCTCTTCTCTCCCAATCAGAAGTGCACTAGCCAATTCAGTTCCAAAGGAGCTAATATTTATTGAGCATCTTTTGTAATAACATTACCTCATTTAAACTTCACAACACCCTCACACAGGAGGTGTTATTATCCCTTACTTTTACCCTTGAGGAAATAAGCTCAAACTTCACTGACAGGAAGAAGCAGGATCAAATGTGATGTCTTGTGTTCAGGTTTGCAAGAAGAATGCAGCCACACCCCACGCCTCTGCATTGGGTCGGCACTGTGGAGTCAGAAGTGTTTGTAAGCCATTTCCGTTTTATAATTTGGACATAGGGAACATGTAAAGATTAAATAAGACCATGAATACAACGGTGATGGAAAGGCTTTGTGACTGCAAACTGGGATAGGTCTGTCTTCTTCAGCGTTAACTTGGTCTACTTCCTACAGCTCCACCAAGCTCTTGGGTTCAGTCCTTTTGCACATTGTCCTTCAGTAACTATCCTCGCCAGGCCTCTTTATGTATCCAAATCATGTTGAAAGAATTACTCAGGAATCTTCAAGCGTATTAAGACGTTATATGGGCAAGTACGATTAATAAAAAGGTGGAATAATACTGAAATATTCTTCTCACACTGATGGTCCCAGTGAGGTACTCTGTGGAGTGACCTGGAGCTGTGGGGACACGGATGACTCTGTTTCCTGGCCTAACCTTGTGGCCTTGGTCAGATTACTTGTCTCCAAATGTCTGACCTCCTGGCTTCTGGCTCCCACCTTTATCTTCCAACCTTAGACTATGCCCTCTGACAAACACCCTGCAACTTTTGCCAATTTCAGATTTGTATTATTTCCTCAAGTTTTTGTGTTCTCTTCATTTTTCTAGCCAGTTTACTTTCTGTATCCTGCTTTTGTGTTTATGGATTTCTTTAGCCCTCTCAATTCCATTTCTCTGTTTACCTTATTTTAGTTCTCTGGTCTTTTGGTCTTCTTCATCTTATCACTAGTTATGAGAAAAACACTTTTAGGAATTTTAGAATTCATCTCACTCTTTCATCCAATGTAAGCCTCTTTCCGCAGGGATACCTTCCTCTGTCTTCTAATCTGTATTTGATTATTTTCCACAGTGGAGAATCCACTGGATGACAAGGTGGAGCATTCTACTTGGGGGTGAATCTAATAGCTGAATTTTCCCCATGAAACTAAACTGAAATCGGTCTCTTCAGTTTCTTTTTCTCATAGTTCAGCTCTCTGGATTCCCCTGAATAGGTGTAATTTCCCTCACACATGCTCTTCCTTCATATATTAAACAGAATAATCGTGTCTGTCTTCCCAAAATATTGTCTTTTTCAGGTTGAAGCTGCTTCAAATTTTTAGATAACAGCTTCTAACATGTAATTTTGCCTTTCTCTCCTGAATCTGCTCCATTGCTTTTGTGCCCTTCTTTGAATGTAGATCTAGGAATCTGGCACTATAATCCAGACACGGCTCAAAGTATTTCATATTTAATCCTAATTAAATTCCACTTTATAGTTTTAGTCTTTATTCTAGTCTTGGTCAAACTCTCCACTTAAGTTATACTGCGTCAGCCAGTGAATGATTGGGTTTTGTGCAATTTTTACCACCCCAGAATTAGATAGTCATCGTTTCTGTCAGCGTTTATTGAAGTGGTTGGAAACCTACTTCCGGGGAATCGATTAATTGACAAAGCAACGCTCTTTGGGCTCTGCCTTCCGGCTGTTTGAGAGAATGCAGGATTCCAAATGGTGAGGAAGTTGGAATAGGCACCCGTTCAGACGCCTTGCCAAAGCCCAGACAAAGGCTGCCCCACACTGCTATGGCGGAAGGACTCAGAACACAGCCTTGGCGTTCGCTCTTTCCACCCCTTTGCTGCTGTTCCTAGTGCTTATTCTGTAACTTCTCAGAAGTCTTTGGTTCAAAAGGTTTTAGAAACAAATCTCCCTGTTTTCTCATCCACAAATTGCACCATTTTCTGCCCCCTGTTTTAAGGTAATATTTGTTTGTTCACAGCCTTCAGCCACCTCCTCCTGCAGTAGCTCAGCCTTCCCCAGGGAATACAGATGGCGGCCTTCCTGCTCCACACACAGTCTCACATCTCGGAAGGGACGTGAGACGTCACTCGCCTAGGTTAAAAGGCCCCCAGAGTGTTTTCCCACTACCGCTGTCTCTTGCTCAAAAAGCTATTCTTGGAAGGTCAAGAAAACCTAGTAAGTTAAATGATCAAATGATCCCGGCACCTCTCTTACATGAGGTTCTTTCCTCCAGTTACCTCCCTGCTGAATGCTTCATCAGTGCCAGTCTAACCTATTTCCAACTCTTCAAGTGTACTGTTGCCGGAATTCTAAATGCAGAACGTTATTAACAATTGTTTTGCTTTTCTTTTTCCCATCCAGAGCCCATAAAAATCTTTAATAGCATCTCCAAAGATTATTTTTCTAAGAAAACACCTTACCAAATTTATTCTTTCTTCCCGCACATGTACACATGAATGCGTGTGTAACTCTTTTTTTACAGTTGCAGACATTTGCCATTTCATCTCTAAATGCTTCAACATATACTTCTGTAGAATAAGGGGACATACATCCACATAAACAAATTTAATGGCTACTGTAGGAAATTTCACAGGGATATGGTACTATTATCTAACAATATCTTCTTACAGGGCTGGGGATTTAGCTCAATGCTACCACTACCTGCCTGGTAAGTGTAAGGTCCTGAGTTAAATCCCCAGGACCAAAAAAAAAAATGTCATCTTAAACTTTTCTCATTATCCCAATAATGACTTTTACATTGGGTTTTCCTGGAATTAAATTTGATTCATTTTTTTTAAATCTCCAATGTTGACACACAGGTATTCACACATTTATTAAAATTATGATTGTTATATTCATCAGACATGGTCTAATTTTTCCTCTACCTTTGTGTTTGGTTTCCCACATCCTGCCAATGGCTCCTCCACTCTCTGAAGTAAAATGAAACTTTTCTAAGGCCAAACTATATGTTTCTATGTTTTGGAGTTCTTCCTTCCTTAAAATTATTTATTCTGTGTTTCCATGACAAATGCATCCCATGTGTAGACCTTTTCCCTTATCATCTTTCTACATTTTAGTCTGTCTTCCTTTATCTTTTCAGTGTAGCCTCCCATTCCTGGGATAGAAGGCTTTAAAGAAATCAAGGTGCCACTGGCTGCAGTCCCCATTCACATAAAGCTATAGTTTAACCCTTAATTAATGGGAAAGTTTACATTTATGTCACTGACTTGGGGGAGAAGTAAAACAGTTACTTTATACTGATTTTCTTCTTGGTTCCCAAGAATTCTTAACACTTTGTATGCAGATAATCTATGGACTTCATAGGATTGATATATTTCTTGTAAGTCATAACCTACTACCATAAACCTCAAGGAACTTAAGGATGAATCAAACGTCATAGTGTAAACTATCATTCATGAATTCAACAAATTGTATTTTCAATCCTAAAAATAGCAAATTCTCACGTTTAAATCTAAAAAAACATTTTTAATATATAATTTTTTACCATTTCAGAGTCATTGGTGAGGACATGAAAGAAGGATCCTGAGATAATAAAGATTCTGGGGCCAAGGATTTGGTTCAGTGGTTTCGCTGCCTGCCTCACAAGCACAAGGGCCCGAGTTCGATCCCCAGTACCAAAAATAAATAAATAAATAAATAAAACAAAACAAAACAAATTATAAAAAAAGGGATGGGGATTTAGTTCAGTGGTTCCACTGCCTGCTTCACAAGTGTAAGGTCCCAAGTTCCATCCCCAGTACCAACAAAACAAAACAAACCAAACAAAAAAGATTCTATATCGTATGGACTATGCGTGTTCTCTAAACAACTGAAGTGTGGTAAATCCTTTTGCTCCTAGATCCACATCTCCACTAGCCAAGCTTCACGGGACCTCTATTTTGGAGAGGCACCACCTGGAGTACAGTAAGACTCTCTTGCAGGATGAGGTATGTGAGCCTTTCTCTGGAGCCTTTCTCTCTCATAGCTTGTGGGTTCCAGATCAGAGCATTAACCCACAGAAAGTGCTCAGAAAGGGGGCAGCCCTAGGTTATAGTATTGGCCATGTATACCCTTATCTAAGTTGATTAATAAAAGTTACTAGATTATAGTATTTTTTGTCTTTATTAAGTTTATTGGTACATTTTAGGTATACAATTTTTTCTTTTCCCTTTTTACCTTTCCCCTTTCCCTCCCACTTCCTCCACTCTTTTAGACCTTTTCTTCCTATTACACAATATTAATTTTACATTTTCATCCTTATTTACACTTTTAGTTTTTCACACCAGAGAAACTATTTGGTGTTTACACATGTATGACTTATTAATTTCACTTAAGACTATGGCCTCAGTCTGTATCCACTTAGCTATAAATATCTCTAGTCATAATATGAAACTCTACATTGAAGGCCCAAAAAATTCCACCAAAAGACTGCTAGACTTAATTGACACTTTTAGCAGAGTAGCTGGATACAAGGTCAACACCCAAAAATCAATAGCCTTCTTGTACACCAATAACAGACTCACTGAGAGAGAAATTAGGGAAACAATTCCTTTCACAATAGCATCCAGAAAAATGAAGTATCTAAGAATCAATCTAACAAAAGAAGCAAAAGATCTCTACACTGAAGACTACAGCACTATCAAAAAAGAGATCGAAAAGGGTATAAGAAAATGGAAAGATATCCCCTGCTCTTGGATAGGAAGAATCAACATAGTGAATATGGCCATACTACCAAAACTGCTATACAGATTCAATGCAATGCCAATTGAAATTCCAACACTATATTTCACAAAACTAGAAAAAAGAATCCAAAAATTCATTTGAAACCATAAGAGACCTAGAATAGCAAAAGCCACCCTAGGCAACAGAGATATGGTAGCAGATATAACAATTCTCAATTTGAAACTATACTACAAAGCCACTGTGATAAAAATAGCATGGTACTGGCAAAGAAACAGATCTGAGGATCAGTTTTCCATATTGATTTCCATAGTGGTTGCACCAGTCTGCACTCCCACCAACAATGACAAAGGGTTCCCATCTCCCTACAACCCTGTCAGCATTTGTTACTGGTTGATTTCTTGATAGCAGCCATTCTTTGTGGGGGGAGGGGGAATCTCTATTCTTTGTGGGGTGAGGTGGAATCTCAGTGTTGTTTTCATCTGCATCTCTTGAATGACCAGTGATGTGGAACATTTTTTCATATGTTTATTTAATGTCTTTACTTCTTTGTCTGAGAAATGTCTGTTCATTTCAGATGCCCGTTTGTGAATTGGGTCTTTATGTTTGGGGGGGCCTTATTTTTTTGAGTTTTGTTATATATTCTAGACAGTATTTTTAACTACCAAGCTAGAAGTAGCTGAGACAGAGGAAAAAGGGACCATAGAAAGTTAAATGTAACAGGGAAAAGAGGCTATGTGACCACTGATTTTCTTCTTCATTCGTGAAGAACAACATACTATAGTGTATGGTGTGTACCTCAGAGAAAGCCAGACTTTGGTAGTGGAGATGAAGATGAGTTGGGTTATGACACAGAAGCAAACCCTTACCATTAGAGAGACACTGAGTCATTCTCTGGAGTCCCAAAGGGAGAGAACATGTTCACTGGAGAAAAAAGAAAGGTCAGAGATGGCTTTAGGCAAGACGTGCCTTTCAGCCTGTTGAATTCATTATGACTGGAAAATATTGTGTACTACCGACCTTCTATAGGGGATGGTCATTCTTCAACAGTTTTATTTAGGGAGTATATAGAGGCATGTGAATAAATCATGGATGTGATCTAATTACATTTTCTTATGAAAGTTACAAGCCAGGATTCAGGAGAACATTGTCTTGTCACAGGCAGAGAACTTGTTTAGAATTACTTAGGATAAACACACAATCTGGAGGGTGGGGCTTTTCTCACCCTCAGTAATAATTTTTCATTAACAGCTCAGAGAGGACATATACAGAAATATGTTCAACACTATAGATAACATTAAGTTCTTTTATTAATGAAAAGCCAAGATGGTCCACACAGACAAGTAGGAGCATCTTATAAGGCAGAGTAACTGGGAAAAAAAGTAGAAAGAAAAAAATAACTTGAGCAGCTTTAATAACATGTGGTTGATGAACACCCAATGCCATGTCCACACTAACCCTGCTGTAGAATTGCTCATTTGGCAATGCTCTTAGCAAAGCACTAACCTTGAATCTTAGTCTGTTTACTGTTACTGTAACAGAATACCTGGGACTGCATAATTTTTAAAGTATACAGGTTTATTGGGGGCCATAGTTCTGGAGGCTGGGAAGTCCGATATCCAGCAGTGACATCTGCTTAGCTTCCGCTGAGGACCTAATGGTGGGTAGCAAGAGGGTGTATGCAGAAGACACAAAACACAAGGGCCTGTCTTGCTTTTTAACAACCTGCTTGTGAGAATGAATCTACTCTCAGACAGGCATTAATCCCTCTTAATGATCTATCAGATCCCTTCTTAAAGCCTTAACCACCACTCAAAACCTTCACTTAGAGAATCATATTTCAGCATCAGTTTCAGAGGGGACAAACCATATTCAAGCCATAGCACCTGTGTGATTCCAAGATGATGGTCCTCAGACATGGGTACTGGACTAACTGCTGTAGAATCATCAATTTACCAGGGAGGAGAGTGCTCTTAGAAACATAGAACCAGAGCTTCACTTCCCATTTATTAAGCAGGTGCCTTAGAGTCAGGGCCTGGAAATCTGCATTTGCACCAGACCTCTATTTCATGTGCAGACAGAATCTCTCCCAATAGTAGAATTCATAGCATTGATAATATCTGCTCTATGACAATTAAAAGGAGTAGAGCAGAAAGTAATTCAGGAAGGAAAGAGAAAATTGTCATTACTTAATTTGTTGTTATTGCCTAATTTGCTTGTAGCACAATCTGTGGTTTTGTTTTATATGCTACTGTTTATGTAAGGCCACATTGAGGCAACATCAAATATAATCTACCAGTGGGCCAGGGATTTAGCTCAGTGGTGCCTTGCCCACCTGGGAAGCACAAGATCCTGAGTGTAATCCCTGGTACCAAAAAAAAAGAGAGAGAGAGAGAAATATATATATGTGTATATATTCTACCATTTAATTATACACATACTTATGGAAGCAAAATACAGATCCTGAGTGTGATCCCTGGTACCAAAAAAAAAAAAAAAAAAGATGTGGGAAAAGCGAAAAAAAAAAAAAAAAA